TTTATAATGATCAGAATACAACACAGAGAACCCTGTGCTGTAACCTGACATGCACCACGTTACAAATGTAACTACAGATCACCTTCAACACACTTGGTTTATCATAAAGCGTCATTTATGGCTTGCCTAGACTACAAAATGTTGTGACGTATGGTTTGGAGTTGACGGCACTAATAAAAAAAACAAGTAAACAAAAACAGGAGGCCAAGAGAGGCCCAAAGAAGAAGCAATAACCAGCATTTTAACACTGATTTGAATTTGATTCAATTGAAGCGCATCTGAGTTTTTACTGGAACACACCTTATTGATGATCCCACCACTCTCCACAACTCCCTCAGCACCAACGATGACTAGATCCACTTTTTCCAAGACGTATCTGTAAAGAATGACAAAAAATACAAAATTAATGCAAATGACATTGACAAGAGACATGACATTAAAATCAGATATTATTAACATCTGTATCCACCCCACAGCTGCGTCCAGCACCACCGTTACTGGAACATTGAGTTTCCTCAGGGCTTCTGCCATGTGTTGCCTGAATAAAAAAAAAAGGACATTCTTGAGCCTGTGTCCTTTCAGAGTAAGACTACAGTACAGTATATAGACTGCTCCCTCACCCAGCTGCATCAGGCTGTGATTCAGTCACATAGACAGAGAATCGTTTCTTCTCAGCTGCAGCTTTTTCCAGCACCCTGAGGACAACTCTGGAGTAGGAGTGAGTCAGGATTTTCTGAGAGAGACAAGGAGAGGCCAGGGAGAAAAACAAAAAAATCAAAAAAACCGCATCACTGAACCTTTTCCCTGTACAGAGGAAGAATTAGGTTGTGTTCCATACTTACAGCGCCATCTTTGATAAAGGTGTGACAGAGCTTGGCAACCTTGGTCCTCGACATGGAGATCTTCTCTAAAAATAGTTCTCCTCTCTCCTCCATCACCTTCTTACAGCGAGACAGGTCCTGAAAAGAATAAATGTTAGCATCTGCCTTGGATTAAGATAACGGGTCTGATCATGCAAACATACAGTGCAACCTCTTTAAATCTGGCCAATCTCCATAGCAGTTCCAGCAGGACTGCTATTTCTAAGTTCCTTCTAATGGTCTTTTTTTCTAAAATCTTGCATTTGTGCATCTACAATGTGTGCTAGAACTTCTTTGATTTGGATTCCTTTCTGGGAAGGAGAATGACATTTCAAAACTGCCAAGGACGGTAGGTGGTTGCTTTCAAGTGTGACAATGTGTGTAACAGTGTGTGTAACAGTGTGTGTAACATTTGGAAGCCATTTCTGTGAACTCGGAATATAGAGTCAGAGAAGATCTCAAAGCAACTTACACAGGCCATACCTAGTCAGCAAAAAACAAGCACATCACAAAAGATAGCTAGAAAGTTGCAAACTGCTGAAAGTTCGGTCAAATGAAACTAAGAACAACCTGCAGTAGAGAGAAGAGAAGAAAGCACAGAAGCTTTGGAATGTCTTATAATCTGAGACAAATAAAAGGCTCAATAAAACATGGTGGAAGCAGCATAACAGGAGGGGTCCCTAGTGAGCTTGGCTTCCAGTGTCCCTAGGTCACTAATTTTTATTAGTGATGTGAAAAACAGAGCTGAATGTATACTGAGGTATCCACAGCTATAATTTCTGCTTACAGCAAAAAACAGCCACATCCAGCCACAGTGACCCAAAACACACTCTAAAAGTAGCGCTGGAGTTTTTGATGGTCAGGAAATGGAATATCCGGAAGCTGTTGGTTCAATCACGTTATCTTAACCCGATCAAACTGTGTTTCACTCACTGAAGACAAAACAAAATACAGACCCATAAACAAACAGTAACTAAAGACAGATGCAGTAATGGCCTGGCAAATATCATGAAGGAGGAAACACATTCTTTGGTGATGTCTGTAAGTTCCAGGCTTAAACCAGTCATCGACTGCAAAAAAGTATGAAAAATAGTCACAACTACTTTCATTTGTCAAATTGTGACACCTCCAAACCTAACAGTTTTCTCTTTACTTTGATTATATTTGTTCTCCTGTATGGACCATAATTTTGCTGTAGAATTGCAGTGTCTCTTTTAATAAAGTTCTTTCGAGAACAGTAGCACTTGCACAGCATCCATAAGATGCTGTGCATCTGACTTGATAACGTACAACAGATCTGGTAGCGCTCTGTTGATTTCACTTAAGTTATTCACGCTTAATCTTGTTCAATGTTTGAATGTCCAACGCCAAACTGTCTTCACTCACCTGGTGCTCCAGAGATGTGAGGCTTATGAAGCGCAAGAAGAGCTCCCCTCCCGAGGAGACAGCCACAGAGGAGTCCACTCCTGTAAGGCAGTCTGTGGCTGACGTCAGGCTCTCCCTCAGGCCCAGGATTGTTTCACCTGAAGGGGGAGAGACAGCTTTGTCATCCTAGTAGTTCCTTACAGTGCTCTTTCAAATCTGTGAAATCTTTATTTCATTTATGGTAGAAAAATAATAATTCTTATTAAAACTGGACTTGACATGTGGGCTTCAGTAACTTTTTAAAGCACTCTAGATGCTGTTTTCAGATCTTGGCCCACATGATTATCGCAGAGAAACGACAAAAAAACACTATTTACAAATTGAGAAAACACAAAAAGGCTAAATTTCACGTCTTCCTCTCCATATTCAAGCGAGAATAAGAAAAGCCGAGACGTGTCTATATTAACACCAAGGGCTTAACACTAACCTTTATCTCTCTTGAGGAATTCAAGCAAAGTACGGATAGCAGCAACAGCAGAGGCCATGTCCGGGTCTTTCCTCATCTGATCCCTGAAATACTCCACCAGCTCTGTCCCAGAGATAGAGGCACGGAGATATCCAGTTAATATTTCTAACACAAAAAGCAGAAAATTATTTTTAAAATTAAGTAATTTACCTTCGTTGTTCATCCTGAAAGCAACAACAGTGCCTGGATAACCACAGAAGATTTCTACAGGTTTCAGTCAGTGCGCTCTTTCTGACACATGCCAGAGCGGCTGACTCCGCTCACTGTCTCCTTCTTTCAAACGAAAATATTCACAGCGCTTGAAATATTGTTTTAAGTCAGCCCCACTCTGAATGTCAGCAAAACCCCGCTGAACTCTGTCTAAAAGTTGCTGCTGTCACTATTTCCAACTTACACACCATTAGCTAATCCTGCAAAAGGCAGGTGGACGTGTCGCAGAGTAATGACGTAGGACAAAAACGTCTCCCAGACGCCGTGCCGTTCACGTGAAGTTGGAAATGTGATTTTTTTTTTAGGGTGTTGGGTGGGATGGATTCTTTAATTCGTTTATGTGTTTGTTTGGTTTCTGTTTTCGTTTGTTTGTTTTTATAAACCACAAAATAACAGCAAAGACTGTAAAATAGTAACATAGTAATGCAGAATCTCCACAAAGTGCACAGAGAGTGAAATAACCATAAATCAACAACAGAGAGATAGAAATGTCTATTAAAACCTCAAAGATATTCACTTAACTATAACGAGAGACAATCGGACCATACGAGAGTCAGAGACAAAACAACTGGTGAGGAACCATTTGAACTTTTTATTGGTGTCAGATCCATCCATGTTAATGAACAGTATAGCACAGACATCTAATAAGTTGCTTATTCCATTCTGTAATGTAACTTAAAGGAAATATAAGTGTTTCTTATTCTAGTGTCCTCTGGGCACAGTGGGTATGAAGAGGTACAAGGGCATAAAACAACGTTTATTATGAAATTATTATGAAATATGTCTTCATACCAGCAGTTATGATATAATGACATTTATAATAATTATGTACCTTAATTAAACTACAAAGCAATATCACGGGCCATTTATGAAATTGAGTACACTGCTTACACAGGGTAAAGTGTCAACACATACTTTATTGTTCCATAATCCAGCTTCCAGTTAATCTCGATACCTTTCACAGCAACAAATATAGCTAAACTGGTCCCAATCCTTTAACCTGTACCACAGTATATGAACTAAAAATGTAAACACCAACACACATAGCAACAAAATACATATTTTAAAATGTTAATGAATTAAATCAAACTTGCTAATTAATGTCAATAATGATTTTTCTGTGGGCTAACTTGACTCCAATAGCTTGTAAGCACATGAAGGAAAAGCCAAAGATTAAATGCTAAAAGTTAAAGAAGGAAGAATGTTATACAGAGTTCGTGGAGGAGCTGAAGTATGTGAAGGAAGAGACTATTAAAGAAAAAGTGGAATAATCAGGGAAATGAAGAACACAGACAGGAGTACTGGGAGGCTGGACACTAACAGCCTCACAATGAGCTAAGGATAAGGGAACTTGTGAGGATAAGGGAACTTGTGAGGATAAGGGAACTTGTGAGAGAGACTGAGCTGGAAAGGATGTGCAGCAGTGATTTGTCACATAGTAGGAGAGATGTGTTAACAGGTGATGAGAGTATGGTAAGAAGATAAAAAGGAGTACTTTGAGGAGCTGATGAATGAAAAAAAAAATAGACATGGATGGGAAAATGATATCAGGAAGTCCAGAGGATTAGTAAGGAGGAAATGAGGACAGCGAGGACAGTGAAAAGGGAGTTTGTCCAGATTTAATTCCAGAAAAAAAACAATGCACATTTACTGACAGTGGGTATAACAGACAGTTTGCTGGGAAACATACAAAACATTTTTATACAAAATCTGAACAAGTTTAAAGTGTTTTAATTCCAGAAAATCTCAGGTTTTAAACATCTATCACAATGGGCAGTGCACAAGAGAGGTGACGAAAAGAGTGGCGACATAGTTGAAGATTCAGCCTTGTTGGGTGTGATTAGGAGGGGCTAGATTAGAAATGACAACATCAGAGGGACAGCTCAGGAGTTTGGAGACAAAGTTCAAGAGGAAAGCCTGGGGTGGTTTGGAAGTGTGTAAATAGGGCATAATGGATATATTAGACAAAGAACGTTAAATATGGAGCTGCCAGGCAGGAGTAATAGAGAAAGATTGCACAGAGTCACACAGAAAGAAGACATGCTGAGGCCTGGTGTGACAGGATGTGATAGAGGTAGCCCAATACACTTTAATGACTTCTAAAATGAAAATAGAAGAAGACTTGTTTTTGCTGTTATTATTATTATATATTTTTTATTTTTGATCATTATAAAACTTAAAACTGAAAAAAAAGTTTGATAGTAAGTCTTTGTCCATTTCTTCAGGCCAAGCCCATTCTGCAGTTTTGAATTACACCTGCAGAGGGCCACATGGTTCTTTTCTAACAACCACTAACTTTATCATTAATTATGGTTTTTCTCCATTTGCTTTGGCACAAACCTCACACCAGAAACATCATTCTCACTTCTTAGTGCAGTTCTAAAATCAGTAACATATTTCCCCTACCACACTAGCCTGTCTGAGTGTTTTTATACACACTGCTATTATTTCTACACATACTAAACTACATACACTTCTAGAGATATTTGTTATGGTGTTGATGCACTTCTCACAATGACATTTTACAACTCATGAAAACAGTTTATATGTTTCTTAGTCAGAACCTTAGGTCTGTCACTTTCCTGAATACTGTCCAGCACTGCATTAGTGTTTACAATCAAGTTATTTCAAATTGTTTTCAAATATGTAAAAATGAGCAAATACAGTCACACACTCTTGGTGTTAGCAGTGAAATTGTCCTTCAGGTGAAAACACGTTCTAAGTTTAGTTGAAACAGACAGAAATACATACAGTCCTTTGTCCTTTTGGCACGGGTAATTACATGTATGCATATACTATACACATAGATCCAACGGCCACTTTATTAGTTGCATCTTACTAATCTCAGCTTGGACTGCCTTTTGCCTTCAGAACAGGCTTTAATTCTGTGTGTTATAGACTCAACAAAGTGCTGAAACATTCATCAGCAATTTGAGTTTCCTGTTCTTAGCTGACAGGAGTTGCACCTGGTGTGGTCTTCTGCTGTTGTAGCCCATCTGCATCAAGATCTGATGTGCTGTGCATTCATAGATTCTGTTCTGCATGTCTTGTTTGTGACAAGTCCTCGATTGAGTTATTGTTGCCTTCAGTTCAAAATATTCAGGCCATTCTCCTCTGGCAATAAGGTATTTTCACACAAAGAAATGTCAATCACTGGATAGTTTCTCTTAGTCAGACCACTTTCTGTAAACCTCGGGGATGGTTATGTTAGGAAAACCCAGTAGGTAGTAGGTTCTCAAATACTTTCCAAAGTGTATAAGGTTTTAATGAAAGTAAAAAGCCATTTAAATGTTACAAAAAGTGGTGAAAGTGTTTTTATTCATTAACCATAGAGTTGAAGTGGTTGTCTGACTTTGCATGTTCTGACAAATGTGAAAAAGGTTTGGATTGTTTTTGTGTCTTTTGCACTGGTGAGTCTGTGATATGGTAAATGTCTTGTTTTGAGAACTGCATGAAAAGTGGCGAGGACAGTGGAGGAAAGTATTCAAAATGGCAACAAACAGCTGAAACTAAGAAAAAAAAAGAGTCAGAATGACCCCAAAGAAATAAAGTGAGGGCAAGCAGTTTGAAAGACATGCAAAATGAGCACCAAGAGGCACTGAAGTGCCACGCAATAAACAAAATAACAAGAAAGAAGCAAAAATTGAGAAAAAAAGACAGTGAAAAGGGTGACAAAGGAGCAAAATTACAAGAAAAAGCTTAAATAAAGATACCTAAAGGGAAACAACGAAACAAGAAGTGAGGAAAAAAGATTTTAAATGACAATAAAATGACAAAACACGAACCAAAACTGAACCAAAGTGAAAACAAAGAAAGACTGAATAAAAAGATTCAAAATTATGACAAAGGAGAGTCAAAAAATATCAAAGTAAAAAATAAATAATGTAAAGGCAGAAGGGGACACTGAAAAGTAAAAAAGGGGACATAATATGCACAAAAGACACAATACAGCAATACAATACACATTATATACATTATGAGGGCATCCAAAACAAGGCCAAGGAGGCACTAAATCATGATTAAGGGACATCAAAGACATGCAAAACAAATCCAAATAGACTCCACAGAGACACAATATAACTATAAAGAGATTTAAAATCTGTGACAGAAAGAGATGAAGCCAAGGACAGAACAGAAGACACAAAATGACAACATGAGGCAAGAAGAAAAGAACACAAAGCTCCTGAGACATGCTCAAAATGACTGACGGATGCAAAACAAGGCCAAAAGACACATAATGACTCTAAAGAAATGTCAGATGTTTGAAGGAGATGCACAGTGACAAATAGAGACATGGGACAGAACCTGCCAGAATGAAAGTGGTGTAATTTTGCTGTTGTTTTTCAGTCTTGTGTGAAGACGTGGGGGACATTTATACTCTTACTAGAGGCCAGTCTATGCAAAGTACTAAAAAACAATAATGAATTAAACAGAGTAAAAATATGAACAATCTTCTTCGTCCTTTCCTCGCACACTCTCTAGTTTTAGCGTCAAGTTTTCTGCCTGGAGTGAAGTAGAGAACATCAGGCAGCTTACAGGCTCTTTGTTCTCCTCCTGGCTCAGCAGGGAGACGGCTCTTCTGAGTGCAGCTGCAGCCTTCCGCCCCCCCTCCTCTCGCTGCTCTATCCACCCGCGCAGGCGCAATTGGCTCCTCTGTGCGCTCTACTGTTTGCATTGTGTCTGAGCTGCCGGCGAGCTTTAAAAATATTATACCCACCGCGGCAATGTCGGGCAGGTCGGTCCGAGCTGAAACCCGGAGCAGGGCGAAAGATGACATCAAGAGGGTTATGGCCGCTATTGAGAAAGTACGAAAATGGTAAGAGGAAAAGTAGAAAAAAAAGCAGGGTTCGTTATCTAACACGAGAAAGGCTTGCTTGTTGGGGGAGGAGAGGGAAGGAGCGAGACAGAGCGAGGGATGAAATTGAAAGAAAAGGACATTTTCTGAAGTGGATTTCACGGCAGATGTACTTGCAGCTCAGGTGCACCGGGGCGCACTAGTGCGGTGCACCACCCCGTCCATCGTCGGGCTAGCACGTTTAGACTACATGTAGCCGGCGTATTTTTCCACTGATTTTAACGGCAAGGGTTGAACCCAGAAGCCATATTTCGATGCAGTCACATGAAGCCATTGCTGCCCGCTGTTGAGCTCGTAGCACAGGCGGCGGTTTTTAGGATCGAAACGTCTAATAAGTCCGGACTTGGAAACAATTTGACGACGGCGCTCTTGAG